TTTTAAAATTTATATAACTATACATTAGAATAATCGATGAAATTCACAGCTTAACCGAAAATAGCTAAATAGAATAAAGAGAAAGCAAGACAACAACACAATACATATCCTTGTTTGCTCCATAATACTTAGGATTGAGGGTATATTTTTTATAAAACTATGGGCTAAGTTAGTTTAAAGTTAAAAGTGGCAACATGAAAGTTCAAAATTAAAAATTAATAGATTGAATTGAAATTATTTGGTAAAATTAATAGTTATATTAACTGATAAGTATAAAATGACAACTAAAAACATCATAACAAAATAAATTAAAATTTTAAATCTACAAATTATATTTTTTTAAACTAGAGATTTTAATTTATTTAAAATCATTTTATCATCTTTAAATTAGGATAATAAATCTTTAATTTCACTGTCATTTATAAATATTTTAATATGAAAATAAAATTTAATGACTTTATTACTTATCAAAATATTAACAACTTATTATATTATAAACTAATGAATGTTATGATATTAATTTATTTAGTATTATTTATAATATATTTTCTTTCCTTTCAATATAACAAAAGCAAATAAAGTAAGGTTTAAGAAATTTAATGAGCTGGTAAAGAATGAATTACATATAAGTACAACAATCATAAAATCAATTTCAGCCAGTAGCTGAACATTAAAAAAAATAATACTAGTATGAATAATGTTAAAGTAATTACCTATTTTAACTACTTTACCAATCAATATTAAGTCAAGATTAACTCCATTTTTTACTCAACACACACTACAAGAAATGTGATTTTTAGTGACTAGATTTTAGTAACGAATATAAAATTTATTAGTAATAATTAATTATTTGTGAAAAAAATTTTATATCATCACTAATATTATTATTAATAATAACTTAATTAAAAGTCATCACTAATAATAAAAATATATTAATTATAAATAATTTATTAATAATATATAATATTAAAAATTTATTTTTATTTTTTATTTTAAGTACATTATTAATATGTATATAAAATTAATACTTATGATTTTATTAATAAATCTTTAATTTAATTATATTTTGAATCTTTATATTTTTATGAGTGTTTAAATTTAATTTTTAAATTAATATTTAGTCTATTCAATTTTAAAAACTTTTAAATTAAGTTTTGTATCTTAAAATTTTATTTGATAATTAAAAAATTATATAAAAATATAACATTTTATTAATTGATTTATATAAACAAGTAAAGAAAAATTGTAAAATATATAATAAAAATCTTATTTTTAAAGTAAACTTAATTTAAACTTCTAAAAAATTAAAAATAAATAGTTAAATAAAGAGGTCCAAAATTACACTACAGTAAGGTAAAAGAAACTAAAAAAATAATTAATAAGTTTAAATTTGTTTAAAAATTTAAGCTTGATTTTTTCATTTAACAGGTTAAATAATCAACAGTGACATTAATAATGACAGATTATTTTTCACTAAAAGTTAATATACCTTTATTTATAATAAAATATGAAAATAAGGAATAATAGATTATAACAATAAAATATAATTTTTTAAAATTAATTTTGATTACAAATCAATCTATATACATTATATTATTGATATCAATTACTTTATTTTTTATTAATTTTATATTACAAACATTGTAAAAAAAATTGATTTTAGTGACTATATAGTCACAAATATTATATATATATATATATATATATATATATATATATTAATATGATAAAAAAAGAAATAATTTTTAAAAATATTAATATTTAAGAGTAATTTTTAAAAAAATGACTTAAAGGAGAATATTTTTATCTGTGCTATATGAGTTTTTTTTTCACATAATATATTATAATTTTTGAATAATACATATAAATAAAAAATTGTTATTGTTTATAATGTATGCAAGTCACATTTCTGGAACTATAGATATCCCGATAATATATTAAAGATAATAATAAAACATGCAAAAAATTCTAACAAATTGAAGAATATTAAATTGTCAAAAAAATTACATTCAAAATAGTTGATATCACGAAGTAAATTTAAAAACTAAAATACAAATTATATATAAAGCAAATAAATTATAATAAAAATGACAAACTTTTAATCTAAATTTTTAGTGCACAATCAGTGAAGACATATTTATTTTTTCACATAAATTAATCATCAGTATCATATTCTTCGATATTATTAGTTTTTTCATCTTCTACCAAATCTTCTGTTAAATCAATATTTTCATAATCACTTTCTTCTTCGTCATCAACAACTTCTGTAAGCATAACTGGCCATAGACTTCCACTATCGATAGAATGTGCTAAATCAATCATATTCAAAGATAATACTTGATCATTACCCAATACATTAGGTATAATAGGAATTGAACCAATCTCATCATTTTCCTGACACGCGTCATCTATAACCTCTGGCATATCATACAAGTCTTGAGGTTTTGTTTTCACAATAACTAGCCAAGTAGGATCTTTAGTGTCTTTAACATAATACACTTGGTGAGCTTGACTGGCTAAAACATATGGCTCTTTGGTCTTCAATTTGCGAATACTATTGATAAGAAAAAATTCATATTTATCTTCTTTGTATCCTTTTCCTTTAGAAGTTACGTCCCACTAATCACATTTAAATAAAACAACATTGTTTCCACCAAAATAACTCAATTCAACAATATCTGTTAAGACACCAAAATAATTTAAATTACCTGCAGTCTCATCGCTTGTAACCAAAATTTCACTATTTTGAGATTTTAACTGCATATCACGATCCTTTGTAGTAAACCTCCACCCATTTATAAGATAACCTTGTATATCGTAAAACACGTTTATCAGGTCCACAAGCCAAGTCAAATAATGATTCAGATATACTTCCTTCTCTGTTCTTTTTCAATAGTGTAATCTATTAAAAAAATTGTGATTTCTTATAGTGTCATTTTAATTCCCCAATTTTTAATAAAATGTCAAGATTTTTTTATACATTTTAAAGGATCTTCATAGCATATTAACCTCAAGTTTTTTTTTACAAGCATCTTAGGCTCCAATCATTTTATCAATTCGTAGAAAAAGAAACTTAAGTTATCAATTAAGATCCTAATTAGCTGCAATAATAATTAAAGTTTAAGATATCTAACAGATTTTAATATATAGCATACACACAAAAAGAATAAGTAATGAAAGAATTAAATGGTAAGCGAATTAAATGTAAAATTTTTGTTTTTAAATATTTATTCAAGATATTTATAATTATAGTACAAGCATTTTGAGAGACTTGAGACGTAGCAATAATTTATTCTAAAAAAAAAATACTAACAATATATTTTCTAAATATACTTTCTAACGTACTTTTTTCGTAATTTTTTTATTATTAATTAAAATATTAAAAACTACAAAATATAAAAAAAATTAAGAGTTAAAAGTAATAAAACTTACAAATTTTAATAAATTTTTAATTATTAATAAAAAATATATTAAGAATATATATTAAAGAGTGTTTTTCTAACATTTTTCTTATTTTTAACATTTATATAAATATATATATATATATATATATATATATAAAAGACAGAATCTTTTTACATTAGTGTATATTTCAAAATTCTTACACTTACATTTAATAAGTTATAATTTATTATTTTGTTAATCGTTAAATATAAGTTAAACAAAAGACTCAAATAAAGTGTGAGAGTTTTTAAAATTTATTAGTTTTTAGAATTAAATATAAGAATGCAACTGATCTGAAACTTAACATTGATCACCTGACTTCCAAATTTAGAATTTCATTGAAAAGTTTTATTTTACTCTCCTAAATCACAAAATTATCAAGGTTCAAAATTATTAGTTGTAGCTCAGAGTTGTACAAAATGAGAAAGATTATACCTATATGAGTTGTTCAATATATTAAAACGTAGCATACACACGTTAATCATTTAGTAGAATAAAGTGTAATTTTTTAAAATAAAAAAGAAGATAGTATAATTCAAATATTTATCTCTAAATATAATTTATCCTTTAATAATGACTACTTTTATTCAATTTTCTATACATTCGTATTCACAATTGGCCACAGATATAAAAACAAAGAAAAAATAGCTGTATATGATTTTTTTTAAGGAACAGTTTTATAGGAATAACAATAACTTTTCTCACTCTCTCACGTCCTCAGGAATGCAAACATAACTGGCAAACTGCACAGCTAACTATCATTGCCTTCATGTTCAATCAATATTTGGAATATCGACACATTATTGTGGGATTGGATATTTTTTTAAAACCATTTTTTCTCTCACAAATGAAATTCTTCTTCGTATAGTAATTTTCCTTTGAAGCGACAGGCCTATCTATTGTCTGCGCTTCAAATATAATGATAATCATATTAAAGACATTTGGTATCGTGATTTTTAACTCCATGCTCATAGGGCTTCAGCCCATGGCATATATGTTTGTTATGTAAATGCTACACTGTAATTTTTGCATCAACATAAAAAACATGAAATTTTCTCTTTACATTGTTTCAAACATACTTGGACTTAGAAGAATAGGACCTTCCTATTTCCTTCGCCAAATTGCTCGTGGAATATAAAAACATGCCTTGAATGATTTCTAAACATGTGCTTGCTGTGGAATATAAAACAAACAATATTTCAACTTCCATTCCTCTATTTCAAAACATTTCAAGTTTTCCTCTTTTACCACTTCTCAAAGGATAAATGTCACAAACTAACTTTCCTCAATTTGCTGTCCAGTAATCCTAATGCTTAATTTGTTGGGTGAAAACATACGATTTTAGGTAAAACTTATTTTCAACTCGTATATGTTCCGGTCCTATTACATTGAAAGCTCACACCAAAAGCCTATTTTGCAGTGTAGCAGTGAAATAGATCATTAATAAGCCTCACACAACAGAAAATAACAACTGAATTCTATTCACTGTAAATAGGGAAAAAGCATTACATCAGAGACTCAAACGGATTGAAATTCAAGTAATTCCCCCTCTGCCTCAGTCCCTCTGCTCTACAACAACCATATGTTAGCAATTACAGGTTTCCAAATCAAGTCCTAATGAGTCAACACCGGAAAAAAAAACAATTTCCTTGAACTCATGAACCCACATTCTACTATTACTAAGTGAATCCATTTAATTACATTATTGCAGTGATTCACAAGGCTCCACACCCTACAACTTTGGTTGCCTAATTACATTTGCAAGGAAAATAGATTGTCATCACGTCACTATATTCTCACTCAGAATAGATTGTCATTCACTATGATAATATATTGGCACTCTAATGGCCAATATGTACTTGAGATCCATTAGATATTACCCTGCCAGAGGTGTCGCCCATCATTTTGACACTACTATTCTCCAATCCACTTTTAAGCCAAGCGAGGTTACTAATGTCTGCAGCTATTGCAGCTAACTCAAAATTAGGGAAAGATGGGGGTTCTGAAAATTCGACAAATTCTGGTCCCAACAAGGAGCTTTTGGACTTTGGAGTAGCACAGCAACCATGGCCACACTGGTGAGGCACTGGCTGGTCACTATAAATTCCTTCAAGCATTTTACAGAATTCCATATCTGGTTTTGATGATTGTAAAATGGATCCTTGCATCGGAACAGGTCTTTGAATTGATGTTGAAGGCTGCAAACCATCATAAGAGTGATATACACTAAAAGCACTTACACGTGCTACTGGCCGGAAAAGGGTAGGTGGATCCCTAACTTCATGGTGTAGTTGACCCTCAGTTTGTGCTTTGTCTTCAAATTTATCATCCATGATCTCCCCAGAACTGACATCTCTTCCTTCTGAGGATTTCAAAGAATTAACATCCCCACATGATAAAGTATCTTCTGATGATGCTTTGGCTTTGTCCAAGCTAATATCTTCCCCTAGGTTACCAGATTCTAATTTAATCTTATCAAGCTCAACTCCCCGACGCCTCAAAGTAGAATTCCAGTGGTTCTTAATGGCATTATCTGTTCTTCCGGGTAGAAGCCTGGCAATGGCTGCCCATTTGTTCCCGTGGATTGCATGAGCAGCAACTATGATCCGATCCTCCTCATCTGAAAAGAATTGAATTTTGTTGAGCCTATATGTTAGGAAAGTGGCATGATCTGATTTATTAGATGAAATGCAGAAGTTTCTAAGCAAATATCATAGATGATATAATTCTAATGTAGGCAACCAAAAATAAAAGGAATTTTTTTCTCAATACTTTTTCTTTTTCTTGGTTACACGGCGGGTGATTAGCATTGTCCAAGGGGTATTTGGGACTTGAGTTTTCAGAAAAATTGGAAAAGGATTCCAAAATCTCATTATTGTCTAAAGGCAGAGTTTATTTATTTATTTAATTCTTTTTGCTTTTGGTCTGCAGATTTCTCAATACTTACCTTTTGGATTTTCTAGTTGACAACTATTTTAGATCCTAAATTTATTATAACATAATTTTTTAGCCATAAACTGCAATTAAACCTTTAATATCATACACCGCTAGATATAAAATTAGCACAAAAAGCATATCAGTCAATTTTAATGGCCAACAGCCAACAAGCAGAATCAGTGCAACAAGGGAAGCAGAAATAGTTTGACTAATGGAATCAGATGTCTTGACTCTTGATCAGCATTGCATACCAATTCTAATAGCTATTTACATGATATAACCTATCACAAGCATTGACGTTTTATGTGATGTAATACTCCTTTCATCTGATGTTAATAAATAAATTGATTTCACTAAAATATCCCTATTAAAAGTGCTTAAGTTATTGAAGTAGTTAAGTGACAACGAATCTTATAGAAATTTTAGTACTTAGTTGGCAAAAACTATCTATAATAAAAAAAATATATTATAAAATAATGTTTTCTCGAGTAATCAAGTGACATCTAAATCTAATGAGATAGAAGGAGTAATTTTTAACCTGCAAAATATCAGTTGCTCTGTGTCACCATGTGTCAAAGTTTTATAATCTAAAAGTTTGTAGGTGTAATTGTGAGCATCTGTAAAGTATTTTCTGTACTTTAAATTCACTATACTTGTTTGATAATAATTTGGATCCTCTTCAGCAGAATCTGCTTCAGCCACTCCCCAGCAAAATCTTTACCATTGATTTATATATTGAATGGCTAATATATGTAAATAAAAAATAGAATTCATTGATAAAAAATTGAAATGGGAAAACTAGTGCGTAATTGGTCCATCTTAGACATTCAATATAAAAATCAATGGTTTAGATTATGCTGGAGAGAAGCTGGAAAGAGATCGGATGGAGGGGATCCAGATTTGTGTGATAATGATAGCTGTTTTTAATTGATGAATGTCCTTTCTAAACAGCATATGGATGACGAATGCAGATCATCCTCCCTCAAGTCACTGGCCAATCCTTAGATCAGTGTATGCTAATTTAGGCACAGGTATCCAAATAAATGGTGATATAAAAGACAATCAGTAATGTGAACATATAACAGTCAATGCTTTCAAAAAGCAGTATGACGATTGGCATGGAATATTACAAATGGTGATGGAATTGGAATATCTAGCTTACTATAAATTTATTCTTCCGCCATCATCTTTTCAAATACGCCAAAAGAAATAAATAATCATTTAGTGAGCATAGTGTAATTGGTTCCAAAAGTAATTATCGTTATCCCAATTTGAGGGTGAGCCATGGTGCAATGGTAAAGTTGCTGCTTGTAACATGGAGGCACAGGTTCAAATCATAGAAAATGTTTCTCCCTTTTTAGGGCTAAGGGTAAGGTTCTCTACATCAACCCTTCCCAAACCCCACCAGGCAGGAGCCTTGTACACTCTTTTATCTCAATTTTGGTGAAAAAATGAATATTTTGAATTTGGCGTATTTGTTCTTTTCTGTTCTTTTTTATAAGGGAGATCCAAGACCTAATGTCAGCAAGGAAAAGGTTGGTTAGATATGAGGCAAATCAGCCTCAGTGGGATTTGAACATAGAATCAAGAAATGATGGGTGCGAGAGAATAGTTTGTTAAAGTTGTTATAGAATCAGTTGGGCAGTTGAAATTGTCCAGACTTCAGAGTAGAGACTTAGCCTAAATAGAAGGAGATGGGGTAAAAATCAGATTTCTCAGTTCTGGAAAACTGCAAAATGGCTTAGAGGTAAGAGGGTACCCTTTGTGGAAGGGGAAGCCCTTGCAAGGGGGGTTCTCCGCTTTGGTCTCTGATTCAGTAAACCACTAGAGTAGTGTTATTTCTCTGCCTATTTTCTCTGATTCTCAGCTCTCTTTCTAAAATCTAAGAAATTTCATCTTGTGTCTTTAACAATTTTAATAACAATCTTTATATCTCTTATTGTGTACTCTGGAGTCTGGCCTCTAACATGGCCAAGACTGTCCAGTGTATGTATGAATTTCACCTAGAAGTTCAGTTGATGAGGATTCAATACATTAAGTTCATTATTTTCCAAAAGTTGGATTAAATGTATTTACAATAAACTGGATATCACTCCTTATGAGTGCGTAGTTGATGCAGAACCGTAACTCAAAGGTACTCCACAACTCAATTTAGATTGATGAAGAACTGTACCTCCAAAAGTATACTACCTTTGAGTTTGACAGGTACTCTGAAATAAACTAAGAATACTCCTTTAATATTAATAAAGATCAACTATCATTCCATTCTGTCAACTGTTTACAAAGAAAATCTATTTACAGATAAAATTCTAACAACATATAACAGATTTAAATAAAAATAACAAAATCTAAGATAATCTCAAATAAATGAAAATAAAAAAATCTAAATTAAAAACCTAAATAGAAAATCCTACATAAAATAATTCAATCTACATCAGGAGTCCTCCCACATAAGGTCAAAATCTATATATAGCCTGGAACAAGACCAACCCAAACAAAAATGGCTTACTTTGCCACAATGGTTAAACATTACAAGAGTCCTCCGGCCAAACATCGACCACACCAGAAATCATGGACTCAGTCAGAAAGTAATAGCTAGCAACAGCCTGTGATAACTACCAAAATCCCATCCCAATGACATCATTTACCTAACAACATGATAATTGATAAAATAACTGACACCTGTGTGACTAAAAAATGAACATCCGATAACGCATTAAATACAAATGCCCTAAAAACAAAGAACCACTTCACCATTAAGCTTTAAAAATCCCACATAGAACAAGTAAATTTAAACTATTCCATCATGTCCCATCCCTGCATTACGAAAGCTCAATTTAAAAAAATTAATTAATTAATTAAAATCAAATTCAAACCCACTGTCGCTAATGCCACAAAAGCAATCAATTACGCACCAGTGAAGGGCTTGCGCTTAACGGCGGGGTCGAGCTGGTTGCACCACCGAAGCCGGCACGACTTGCCGGATCTTCCGGCGATCCCGCGTGCGATGAGGCTCCAGTTTCTGGCGCCGAACTTACTCACGAGCCGGCTCAGAATAGCGTCCTCTTCCGGCGACCAAGGACCCTTCACTCGGTCCCTACCGCCGCCGCCGCCACCTAAACCTAGCAACCCCTCGTCGCCGCTTCCGTCGGCGTCGAGAGCGGTTGCGGCGGCGGCTTCTTCGGGTTCCATGTTAACGAGTGAAAGTGAAGAGTGAAGGGGGAGACGACAGCAGAAAGAAGAGTTTAGAGCAAATGTTTCGCCACTTTTCGACACGAGTCTTTTGTTCACATGGAAGTAAAGGGGTTGAGGAACATCAGAACATGTCCATTTGTCCTTTTTCCAATTACAGTTCTACCCTTTGCCTCCTCTTTTACACTTCATCATTATCGACTTTAAAAATTTATTTTTTTAAATCTTTTTACAATGTAATGTTTTTTATTATTTAATAAAGTAAATATTAAATAAAATAATTATAATTAATAATAGATAAATTATACATTTATGAATGTGTAATTTTATAATTGATAGTTATTTATATTTTAAAATTTAAATTTATCAATGAATTGTTAAATAGATTTTCATTTATATAATTTAAAAAATTATTCATTCAAAAATATTTTAATTCAACAATTAAATTAAAAAAATTAATATTTATAATAAGTTATTAAGTACAATATCTTTTATTAAAATTACTTTTTACGTAACTTGATATTTGCTTAATAAAAATTTTGTAATTATTTTATTTGTATTTATATAGTTATTCTTAAGTATTAATATTTTTTAATGTTTTAAGATAATAAAATAATATATTTTTTATTTAATTTTTACTTTATATGATACAAAGATTATTCCAAAAATATGTAAGAAGTTATGACAAAGTTTAATAAAAAAAACTACATGCATTTATCATTTTAAAAATAATAAAAATATTTAATAATTTCTCTATTTAGTAATTATAAAAAAATTATAAGTATAAAAGAGAAGATAATTTAAAATTATTTTTTGTAGAAAAACAAAAAAAAAACCAAAATAAGAAAAAATATAATTCTGAATATGACTTCTAACATTATTACAAAGAAACTCATAGTTTAACTAAAAAATTGGTAGGGAATTTGTCGCAATCAGACGATTACAACGGTACGACAAAAACGTATTTAAAAAATATATATTTTAAAAACGCTGCTACCAAAGTTTATTTAAAAAAATCTTGAAAAACTCTTTAAAACTAAAAATAAGTTTGAGAGTCATTTATGTGTCGAGAAGGTATTAACACTCTACATCCATTTAAATAACGGTTACTTAAATTAATTATGAAAATTTATTTTAATTTTAAAAAATATTTATTTAACCCCTAAATAATAATAATAATAATAATTTTTTTTAAAGAAAGAAAATTTATTATTAAAATGTTAATGGGTATATTAGGAAAAAGAAAATTTACTTTTTAAAGTTATTTTGACTTGACGGGTGTGATTTTCACTACTATGTATCTCTAGGTGTAATGGAGATTTCAAAGTCACATAATTTTATACTAAAAATTTTGAAGTTGGTTGATTAAAATTAAATTTGATAAAAGAATTTTTATTTTAAGATTAAAATTACTTTCATAAGATTATAAAATTTATGATACAAGATAACGCGGTTATATATGGATGGTACCAGAAATAATACAGAAAGTAAAGGAAAATCATATAACTATATTATAAAGCGTTAAAAAATATTTTTATTTGTAAATAAAATATTTTAATTTATATTTAGATTATGATTCATGTTGAAAGAGAATTTAAAATAGCGTAAGTTATACATAAATCTTTTATTATTTATTGGATAATCGAAGACAATATAAATCACACATGGATATTAAAAAAATTGTATAATAAAATGGAAAAAATAATTGGTTACTTAATTTATCAAAATTAGAAATATGACTTAGAAAAAATTAAAATATAAAATTAATTCTATTTAATGAAAGAAAGAAATATATTTAAATTAGTTAACAAAAATCATTATTTAATAAAAAAATTAAAATTTAATTTAATAAATTTATATTACATATGAGTCAAGTTAACATTAGTAACAAAAGTCTTAACGACTTAAATGTATAAAGGTAGAGATGTCACGTAATAATACTATAAATCGTTCCATTAATATGATGAAAATAGTCTAGATGATATATTTTAATTAAATAAAAAACATAATTGATGAATTTTAGGAATATGATAAAAATTTTAATATATTGATAGTATATAAAACCTAAAATAACGTTGGTACACATAAATTTTATTAATTTATAATACATGATAATAGAGAAACTACATGTTAATGTTATAAATTGACTCAAATATTGTATTATTTATTTAATTAATATTAAATTGAAAATATAATTCATTTATCATCAAATATTTGAAATTATACAATATAATAAATGATAATAATGCTAAGTAACATAAATAAACAATTAAGATTCAAACAATAAAATCATGAAACAAAAAAATAAAAAATAAATAAATAGGATTAATTGTAGTCATCCTTTATAATTATTCTAATTTTTATTGCTAAAAAATTTAATAAATAAGATTAATAGAACTAAATAATAAAAATAAATAAATGATAAAAAATAAAATATTTCATTTAAAATACACTAACATAAATAAAAGTAAGAATCTTATTTTAAAAAAATAAAAAACAAAAAAGGGTTAAAAGGTAATAATAAAAATAAAAATATAAATAATTTGACAAATAAAGAAATAAATAATTAAAAATAATAATAAAAATAAAATAACGTAAAATGAATCAAATCAGGCTGTTGATTGAATCTTTTTTATACTCTCTTATCTTCATCTAGTATATTGTTTTAAAAGAATTTAAATGACAATAATAAACAAAAAAAGTACACGATTTGATTAACTTTTGTTGCATGTGTGCAGGTACATACATATTCACAGTTGTGTGTCTAAGTAGTGCAATGTCTAGGGGTGTCACTCAATGCATCTAGGGTCTTTCATTTTTTAAATGTTATATAATATTTAGTCAAATAGTCTATGACCTTTCATTCTTATATCATTTATCTTTCATTCTACATTATTTATTTTTACAAAGAAAAACTCAAAAATATAGTCCAGAAGGTGAGTTTATGAGCAATAATTATAGCTTAGAAGATTAAGAAATTTTTAAGATCTAAGTAACAATGAAAAATGATGGATGGCTGGAACGGTGTGATTTCTTCCCTTTCTTTTTGCCTCAATTTCTTCCTCTGCTCCTTTTTTCTTATTATTATGTTTTTTGTTAGAAAAGATTTGTTCTTGTTCCCTTCTCTGAAAACTTGTTATCTCCTCTTAGAAAATTTTTTTTGCTCTCTTTAGAGAAGAAAAAAAACTCCCTCTAAAATTTTTTCGCTCCCTCAAAGCTTGTTGCCTCCTCCTACTTCGAAACTAGATTAATTTTTCAAGCTTTTTTTTTTATTTTTGGTTAAAAGAATCTCATTATTTATCTTTTTAATATATATATATATATATATATATATATATATTAAAAAATATTTAAGAGCAAAAATTGGTATTTATAGAGTTCCTATAGTGATATTAATTGATAGTAGTGAAATTCATAATTTTAACTCATTAGTCACCTTTTTTTTTGGAACAAATATAGATGAAATTGTGAATAACAATTTTTGTCCTTTTTCAAAAAAATAAAAAATAAAAAATAAAAATTTTAAAATTTTTTAATTTGTATTTTCTTATTCTATTTTTATCAAAAATAAAATAAAATAATTTTTCTTTAAAAAAAAATAAGATTCAATTTAAACAACAAGAGGAACTCTGATTTGACTTTAGGAAATGGAAAATGAATAGTGCTGAAAAATAAACTCATAAATCAATGCTTGTTTCATACATGAGAAGAGGAAAAACTGAAAAATTTAAATTTTTATGAAACCTAAATGTGAAAAAGGATACCAATATAAATAGTCAAAGGAGAGATTCAGAAAGAGAAGCAACAAGTTTTTAGAGGGGGCAACAAAAATTTACAAGAAGAGAGTAAAATTTTTAAGAGAAGAGAAGTCTAAAAAAAGAGAAGGGGGAAAAGCAAAAAAATTTCAAAAGAGAAAAGATTAGAAGATGAAGAACAAGAGTTTCTGAAGCGAAGAAAAATACTAAGAAAAAAAAAAGAGGAAGAAATCGGAGATCAAAAGAAAGGAAAGAAACCACACACATCTATTGCTATTTAAATTTGAAACTATTCACCCTTGTAGAATTAAACTACATCGAAAGTCTTTTTTCTACTCACAGTTTAGGGAGTATTTTTCGTTAAATATTAGTACAAGGCTTTATAGCACAATTAAAAGGATGGTGGGATCATCATTTGAATCATACTAACAAAAAATATATATTATCACATGTAAAATAAGAAAATAATGAACAAGATGCAATAGTTACATTAATATTTAATTATACAAAACTTTCTAGGAGATCTAACATTATTTAAAGAAAGAGAAGAAATACAATTAGTTAATTTAAGATGTCCAACTGTTGGAGAAAACCAAACATAAGAACACAATTATCTAAAGTAAGCAGCGGAAACAATTCTCCAAACTTGCAAGAACCTGTGAGGAGCAACAACAATAACAAATGGCAAAAACAAATACAAGGACACAAAGAATTATTTACGTGGGAAAACCCTCTCAATGTGAGAAGTAAAAACCCACGGGCTCAAGCCAGTCAATCAAGCTCCACTATAATCAAATGAGGTTACAAGAGAGTCTCAAAATACTTCACAAATTTGTACAAACAACCAGCTAATACAACCAAGCAATAAAACCTAACCAAAGAGAGAAAATCTTACAAAACAGGGCTTCTGTTCAGACACGATTTCTCTCATCCAAAACCTCCAATCAACGATCCCAGAGGTCCGAACGAAGAAATATACATCTGGGAACTACTGTCAAAGTTTCAGCTCAATCCAACGGTTGAATAAGGAGAAATAACGATTTCTCTGCGGCTGGTCTGTGCAGAGTCACCAAAAATAGGGCTTCTGTGCGAAGACAATATCTCCAAATTCAGACCTTTAATCGACAATCCGAACGGTCAGAACAAAGTTCACCATGTTAAGAACCTTCTGTAAACTTTTCACCTTGATCCAACGGTGATCAAATTAGATATTGAAGGAATAAAGTAGCTGGTCAGAAGCTTCTTTCTTCTCTCACTTCCCCTTCTTTCTTTTTGATGTCTCTCTGCAAAAATACACACACTAGGCT